GGTAACGAATGAAATTCAGACATGTGTAATTCTAACTTTTATTTTTTACCGTCTTGAACCTATAATCCATGTAGATAATATTATAAGAATAATACATATTGTCAAATTCTATATTGTATAATGTCAATGTCGTGTTTGAGTAAGTACAAAGTACCTACCTACGATTTTGTGTTGCCTCTTGCCTACCTATATATATAACCGCAACAATATAATGTGACAGCAACATATATGGACAAATTATGTAGAGATCAGTGTGTCAAACCGACGCAAAAGTCATATGCATATAATATATCGCGGGCGTTCTATTTTAAAAGGCACCGCCAACTGCCAAGTCACTTTTTTTGAAATGTACAGTTGAGCAAAATCAAAGTTAAATTTTAAATTAAATTTTAATAAGCTGTAGAGTAGATACAACTTTTTATGTAGTCAATGTAAAGTTACACAAATCACGAAATTTAAAAGCTTTTATCTATTGGATGATATATTTTACACTATTTTTTTTTTTCTAAATGTTTTGCCTTATAGCTGCAGTTAATCTTACATCTTGTTAATTCTTTCATTGACATAAAAATATTAGTAAAAATGATTTCTTCTTTTGGTTCCCTATGGTTGTATTTCTCTATAAGTCACTCATTTTGCAATCCACAAATATATGATTAGCCAAAAAAATAGGAGTCTTCGGCAACAACAAGTTTTTTATTGACATTTGCACCCCTGGTCATTATTTAAATTTTTGAGTTTTGCTGTTTGTATACAGTTTGAAAATAATATGTCTAAATCTTTCCGATCAATACCTATTTGTCTTTCATTGTTTTAAACTTTTAAATAAGCGTTTCTAATAAGCGTCATCAAAATTATTTTTCAATGTCCACAAAGCCACATAAGTGCTCCATTTGGGTTTAATTTTATTTCTAGTAGTATTCTTAATGCAAGAATGCACTCTGGTTCGTTTTTCTGATCCGATAAAACCGAATTCGTCGTCCTCAGCGTTGCTTTCCATTTTTATTCTCATTCTCTCTTTTTATTATTTTTACCAATGTCCTTAAATATCCTATGATTATATAGCGTCTAGCACACTTTGTGCAGGTCGGTATTCCATTTCTTTGGAATCGTGACTAGTTTACGAAATCTAGCTTGTAAAGTCCTTAGGGATGTCTCCCATGTTATAACTACCTTGTATTTTATTACAAAAATATTATTTACATCTACATTTAAGCTCTTTATCAATTCACTATTTATTAAATCTAGTAATCCTGCATTACTCGTGTTTATTTCGTGTCAAGACGTATAGTTAACATCGGTTATTTTCAATATATACACGCTTGTCAAATTATGTTGACAAGCAGTCGTTAACGTGTTAAATTGTTTCAGAACACCGTCAAACTCACTTTTGATGATTGGCAGTCCTTTGAAATCTGTATTTAATCTAGATCTACTAGATCTATAATTACATTCTCTAGTCTAATACGTTTTTAATACGGTCGCGAAAAACTCAATTAAGACTCTTATCACTTGGTACCTTTTAATTGAATAGCAAATGCTATTAAAACAAATAAAATATACTTGCATGTTTATATGGACATTAGACACGCTGCGGTCTTGATGGCACTTTTGAGCCTTTTAATTATTGTTATTTACAATGATGATTGATGGTTATTATATACTGTAAATAAACATAAAATAGGGTGTGCTGCCAATATAGCATTGTCCGTTATAGTTGTTGTTGTGTACATATTTAAATATTATAATTTATCTATAATATAACTATTTCTATAAAGTATAAATAGTATAATGCTTGCACGCAGTAACGATACCTCCGGCCTGCGAATATTTTAAAATTTATCATGACGCGGTTCAAGTATCATGTTTGTTCGGAACTTCTAGATAATATGTCGATCCCGTTCGATGACAAATATTTTGGACCGTTTGTTTTTATACGTTTCGATTTTGATTTTGAACGCGGTTATAGGTAACTATACTAATCTAACTTCACTATTTCGTGGCTTATATTATCTGTTTTAGAATTTATTGCTGAAATGTCATCCTTGCGTTAAACCGCGGGAAAATTTACACTCACTGCCGAGGGCTTCGAGCTTTTTTATAGTGAAAAAATTATGACAGTAATAATAATAATAATGATAAACCGGTATATATTCAGAAATAGGTCAATCAGTAAACGCGCTTGCGCTGGTCCGTACTAACTACTAACCGACAATCGCACAAAAGCAATGTCACGGTTTTTTCATTTTCGTTAGTCGTATAATATTGAATTACGCGTGTAATATAAATTTTATACATACACATTACACACACGCTCGTGTAAGGTAGGTACTCTCGTTATACCTACATAATAATATAAGATAATTATTATTATTATCATTATTATAATGAGTTTGACCGGAAACGTTTTACGCATACAGACTCAGTACATATATAGTTAAGTGGTCATCATATGGTTTATAATATAGTGTACCTATATTATATAGGTAGGTCACATTATAAGTGATGCATGGTAAGTTATAAGTATCTATACTTACGCGAAACGTAGGAATCGTGCTCCAGCAATATTTAATTTATATACAGGATTTATCGTCATCTATAATCACGATATTCGCAATATCGTCGTCCCATCGATAACGCTTGCATTCTTCCTAATCGTTATTTTTTAACTATACGATTATCCAGTGGCCAGTGGCATATGCACTATGTATACAGTTACCATTAAAATTTTCGTGGCCTTAGGTAGTTTATCAATTGGCAAATTGCAAGGTACTGGAAATTAATCAAAAATAACCAATCTAATTTCCAGACACTGAAAGTATACACATACATATAAACAAAAGTAGGTAACGACACAAATAGCGTTTGAGACGTGATGAGCTTAAATCCTGGTGAATAATTGTTGAAACTGAGCCCCCGAATAAGTAGACACTCATTATTTGAGAGGGATGAAGTTATGCCATCAAGCTTCACTTTATGCGTCTCCGTGGCAAAAAGTATACTTACATGTATATAAGTAATAGGTACTTTATACATTTATATCATCTTATATTTGTAAAATTAAATCAAATAAGCACGTATTTTAGAGAAACGTAAATAATTACATAATATTTTATTGGTATACTTTATAAGTTGAAAACTATAAACTTTCATATATTATTTCCTATCCGAATTTGTTCTATTTTAAAATGAATAGTTTTTAATAATACAAAATTATATATTACTTTGTTATCATCATAAACTAATTTTTAAATATCACGACAAACATTTAATATTTATTATTTAATTATCTAAAAATAAAAAAAATCATTCCTAGACCATAAAAATATTGAACTCATTAAATAATTATGGAATAATCTTTCTAAATATATCATATAATTATGTTTATGTATTTGTCCAGACCTTGGAAAATGAAATTAACTGGAATAAAAGTTAATGAATATCACCCTTGCAATTTGTGTACCTATATGCACCTCTTATAAACACGCCTGCCATATTTTGAGCCTTGTTTTATTGTATTCACCATCGAGTCCGCCCAGACGATATCGGCAGCGTCATCTACATTTTACTGCCACGTTTTGAATTATTTAACACGAATAGGATAGACTGCGTCACTGCGACGCTGCTACATATTATGATTTTTGTAAAATTTTCAGATTTGCCATTCTGTGAAAACTGTAATTAGCTGGCTATAGGTTTACGAAGATATCGGTTAGGTTAGGTCATCTCAATGATTTTACAATAAACTTTATTCGGTCTCGTTTATTCAGGAGTCTAATAATTCAGGGGCAATATTTCCCATTGAATAAGGTTAATGTTTATGTATTTGATCCAAGATCGTAGAACGTACAGTTTAGACAGTTTAGTAATAAAATAATATTCATAATTAGGCACACAAAAATAAAACAATAATTTAATCATTATGTATTTCCATCGGTTTGTTCAAACTTTATGTCTGCAGACCATTTATTTTCTTACAAACCTTTCCCTTTTCGTCCTATTTCACTTAAAAATTGTTAATTTATTATTTATAATTATTTTGTTTTTTCAAAAACTTCAGTCAATTTCTGGGGGTAATGGACCATACAATTTTTTTCCATTTTTTTTTATAAAATAATTAAAATTATCATCTACAGACTACATTTAATTACACAGGTATATTACGACAAATATCGAATTGTAATCAACAATCATTAGGTTATATTACAAATTACAAATTAGTTATATTACACTGCTTAAAGGTTGGTAAAAAAGTATTTTAAATATTTTTGTTACTCGCGGAGAACGTATTGAACGCTATCTGGTAAACAAACTTTGGTGGTGAGTTGGTGACTGCCCCGCGATAATAAGATATTTAAAATCAATAATAATATTTACTAAACAACTTACCTTTTAGAGTGAAAAACAGTTAACGTCTATCAGCATAGGCAGAAGCGTAACTGGGTAAAAAACTATAATGGAGACAAAATCAAAACCATAAACTAATTGTGTGTTTTACACAAGTCTTTTAAACTCCTGGTATGACAACATAGAAACAAATGACCGTCCAACTTATAACTGTTTTCACAAGATCTGAGTTAAGACAGGAATCTCAAATTTTGTGTTTCATTTGCCTACAAAATGGTTACAAAATATTGTGAAAATGTCGAGTAAAAAAAATCATATAGAGGATACCGGCCACCGGCCACCGGGTGGTTACCCCAGCACCCTGAATTTAAGTTCGGTATTCTGAACTTTCCAGTAAGTTACAAAAAAAGAAGTGGTAACATTTCGTTACATCTTGTGAAATTTCAAGACAAAAACTTAGAGGTTGCTGCCTTGCTGGAGACTGGAGTGACAATTTTGAAAGTTTCAAGTACACATATTTCTATATCCCACTGTCGTCCAGTCTGTCCAATTGAGAAATTAAAAATACAGTGCCCGGTTGCTGATATAGATAATAGACATTCTTATTATCTATTGCTGAATATATCGCCGATGTCTGGTGATAAAACGAATTGAATGTTCGATATCGATGATAACAGTTATGTATGTGCCTGTGGAAAAATGGGCGAAATCAAATCATTAAAAACACTTGTAGAGCTTGTAGAATTTCGAACAATATTATGCATTAGAACAAAAAAATTTAACGTTACCTACCTACACCAATAGTTTTAATGGTTTTATGTGATCATTTACAATGAAAGTCTACCTCAGATAGCATTACGGAAAGCAGGTAACAACAACAACAATAATAATGCTAAAAAACGAAAAAAAAAAAAGATGTCATTCAACAATTGATTCGACAGTGGTTTTTTTCAATACGCAATTTGATATTTTTGTTTGATCATCAGGACATGATCTTAAAATGGAGTTTGCTGACAAAATTAGAATACCAAAGTTGAACGGGGTGACTATGAGAGGTCCACACATATCCAACCCTAGTACTGGGACACTAGTCATTACTGGTCATCATTTAATATTTTCATCAAGATCTGAGGACGTAGAACTATGGGTAAATAATCAAAGTTGGTTCAATATTTATTTTTCAAATAGCGAAAATAAGTATGTCAGAAAATGTATATTTCCTAATTTTAAATTTTCGGTTCTTAATTCTTATTTCTTATAGTTGTGATTGTTTGATTTACATCAAGCGAGAGACAACAATTTACTATCAAATATATTACTTATAAAATTATATAATATTATAATGAGTAATAACTACGTACTTGTCTTAGTTGAAAAAATTACACTATTTATTCTAACATGCAAAACTAATATTTTTAGATTTTGAACCGTAATATTGACATTGTGGAGAAAAAACTAAATTCAATTACTTTAAAATGTAAGGACTTTAGAATTATTGTTTTTGATATGCCGTATATTGAACAAGCTACCTCTGTGGCTGCATCTATTGAGTCACTCATAATGACAGGTTGATAAAATATCAAAATATGATCTTACTAAAAAATAAAATACGTACAGTTTTTAAAAGTTTTTTTGTGTAATTCTTAGATGAAGCAGATTACCTACACCATATGTTTTCAAATAAAAGTAATGAATATCGTTCACCATTTGATGTACAATCTCAATGTGAAAAACTAGTTGCTGGTGATTCAATGTGGAGAATATCTCAAGTCAATAAATCTTATAGAGTATGTTTTTAAATTTATCTTTATATTGTAACTATTGCTCTCTTTGTTATAAAAATACTATTTATAATGGTCGGTTATATTGCGTAAAGGTTAAGATTATTTAAACTTGTAGACTGTGGTTGTTCATGGGTATGATTTACTAATCATTACGAGTGTTAGCTGTGCAGTTACAGAATTTTATTTTTAACATTTATGTAAACAATTTCAAAACTGATGATAAAATACTTAATTGTGTTTCTTTCTTTCCATACATTTTATATACCAATTATTTAATGTAAAATTTAAAATATTTTTAAAAATTAAATTAAAGCACTGAATTTAAATCCTAGCCCTACTCCTAAGTTATCAATTTTTAAACACAAATGTATATTTTTTTAGGTTTGTGGTACCTACCCTGAATTGACTGTGGTTCCGTCTAATGTTGATGATACCATGTTGATTGCTTCTGCTAAGTTTCGACAAAATGGTCGATTTCCAGTTTTGAGTTATCGTCATGAAAAAGGCGTAAGTGTTTCATGCCTTTTTTTTACGTCAAAAGCTTCAATGGATTATTTTCTTTTTTTGTAATTTTATTTAATATTACTGTATTTTAAGAGTTACACCTCATGGATGTCACAGACATTTTTCCTAGTTAGTAGTTCATTGACTACTACTTTGCTGTACTCCTTACTCTTAAATTACATTAATAGTATCATACAAATGAAATTGCTAGGAAAAGAGGAGATACCATAGCTACCCTAACAAAGTCCATACAAACTGTTACATGAAATTCCTCTTCCTCAGTTAATCTTTAACTATGTTTTTTTTTATAAATATTCATATTCATATACGTAATTAATAACCGATAAATAAAGAGCTAGATCACTGTGGGAAATCACTAAATAGTAAAAACCATCTGATAAAAAAACATCTAAAAAGATTACTTGCAACTTTTGGAAGCAAATCATACTCTAACTAAGACACATAATTTCTCTCCACGTGTCTCAGATTTTTCTAATTTTTGTTTCTTCCCCTTATAATACTTGACGGCTCATTGGTAGTGGATAATACAGATAAAAGTAAAAAGCCAAACTCTTTCCAAATTATCAACCAGTTTTTAAACCATGATTGTCACCCTATCGCTAAAGAATTTGTAATGTCAGATAAATTAGATAACTTTTTTCTGCTTCCATTGTAAATCACTACCTCCAAAAGCAGTTTCCCCAGCAGGAAAATATTTTTTATATAATATTAATGTCAACTGTTTTAACAAAAACTAAACAAATGAATAATTTATAGAGTGTGTTAATGAGAAGCAGTCAGCCTTTAGTTGGTTCAAGTTCTAAACGTTGTAAACAAGATGAACGTGTTATTAATTCTGTACTTGGTCCTGGAAAAAGAGGGTATATAATTGATACCCGCAGTGTTGCTAATGCTACAAATGCTAAAGCTCGTGGAGGTGGATTTGAAATGGAAGCTCACTATCCTCAGTGGAGACGAGTAAATTCAGCTCTTGAACGTCATAATGTTTTATTGGACAGCTTGTCAAAAATAATTGAAGCTTGTAATGATACAACATGTACTATAGAGCGATGGCTTAACAAATTAAATGGGAGTGAATGGCTATCCCATGTCAAAGATACATTAAATGCAGCTTGTTTAGTTGCACAATGTTTAAATAAAGAACGAGCTTCGGTATTGGTTCATGGATCAGAAAGCACAGATGCAACATTGGTATTAATATCATTAACTCAATTGATATTAAACCCAGAATGTCGAACAATTGTAGGGTAAGAATTTGTAATATTATTTTAGTAGAAGTTATGTGTGTTGAATAAAGAGTTTAATAAATATTTATAGATTTGAATCACTAATTGAAAGAGAATGGCTTCAAGCTGGACACCCATTTGAAACTCGCCATAAAAGTGGTTGTTATAACGCAGCTCGTTCAAAAGTATCTTCATCGTCTTCATCAAAAATTTTCCATCATGGATCAGGGGCCACTTTTTTATTATTTCTAGACTGTACATGGCAAATACACAATCAATTTCCATGCTGTTTTCAGTTTTCAACAAATTTTTTATCATCACTAGTTGATCATTCATATTGTTCAGATTTTAGTACATTTTATGGTAATTGTGAGTCTGATCGGAAAAATAATCAATATGGAAAACCAAATTTATGGTCGCACTTTGATCAAAAAATTGATGAAATTAGCAATCCTCTATACTTACATACAAATAATGTGATTTGGCCTTCTGTTGCTCCATTTAGTATAGTAAGTTTATTGTAATTTAATGCCATATTATTGTAGATCATAATTTTGCAAGATATGATTTTTGATAAATAACTTTTAATTTTGTTTCAATAAGTATGTTAACTTAAGTATGTTGAAATTGTATTGTAATTGTGCAATCAAACCAAATTTTTTAGGAATTGTGGAGAGATATGTACTTAAGATGGTCTATTGATCAAACACACCAAAAAAAGTATAAAAAATCAATTGATGATTTAATAAAACGGAATAAGGAACTAAAAGTCTTAGCTACAAAATTACTCAACGAGACTCAAGATTCTGGTAACAAATCTACATAATTAATTAATTATATTTTCTATATTATTCATACAGGTACCAATAATTATTTAATGATATGTTATTATTTTTTTTTATGCCATTTAATTTGTAAATTAACTGTAGAATCTATAATATATTTATTACTATGTATATTATTATTTATTTCTATTGAAACGATACTGTACCAATTTACCTGAAAATAAATAACTTGATAACCTATATAAGTGTTAAAGAACAAAGGTCACCATTTTAAAATTTACCAGTCAAAAATAGATTAATATCATTTATTTAGCATACATTAATTTTTATTTTAAAATATATTTTTTGTTTTTATGTATAAAGTAGGAATTGCTTATGATTAGTTAAAACAAAAAAGTTTTATCTACGTTTATCACTATTATCTTTCTATTTTAGGTATTCAAATATCATAATTTTTTCTTTGATTTTGTTACAACTATTTTAGCTTTTTGATGAATCAATTACAGATAGCTAGACGACTAATTAGTAATAATTGTTATATATTTAATAAAGGTGCATAATATGATGTAATATAAAAATATAATTTAAAAACATGTATGCCATTATTAATTATATTATTATAATCAGTAATAAATAATACTTAGGTTCTATTATTAACTATCAATATTTATAATCAATGGTACTTTATTAACTTATATATCTTCTGTGGAGTATTTACACCTCCAGGTTAGGTGGTTATTTACCTTTCGGTATGTTTAGTCGAAGCAGAATGGTCTACAGGATGAAAAAGACAGAATTAACCTATTTAATTAACTGTTCAATAATTTTTATTCCAATATTTATTTATTAAAAAAAATTATTTAGTTTAATATTATTTGTACTATATTTATACATTCTGAGCGGAGCAATGAATGTATTGATTTTACTAAGATGTACTTTTTTTATTTTTGTGTCTATATGCACTATATATCTGTTGAACAAATGCATGTTTTGATTTTGAGCTATGTGAGGTGGTTTCTGGTAGCAAACTAGATCTAGTTGATACTTATGAGGTCAAAATTGGAAAGTCTCAGTATTGATCAAAATATTCGAAAAAAATGTTTTTAAAGAGGTGAGAAAGTGAGTACCATTTTTTATAGGAGGTGTTGTGTGGGTCACTGTAATGGATGTAATAAATTTGAATTCAATGACATTCGACGATTTTGAACAAAGGCTGACTAATCAGCTTATTTACTATGTATATTTTATGATATTATTGCTATTAAAGTAATTTATTTTACCATTAGTAATACAGTTATCGGTATTTGGTAAGTTACTAGAGTAAAAACTTAATAGTAATTAAAAATTAAAAATGTCTCAAAAGATAGCAAATATTTCAAAATGTTCAAAATTGTATCTATAATTGATAACACCAAAGACAATTATCAACTTACATTTTTAAAATTTTAAAAATATAAGTCACGTAATTATAAAAAGAGTTTTTTTTTAAAGTTAAATTTGACTACAAATTTTTTTTTTCAAGAATTTGACCATGCATGTTTTTTGTGTTCAGTTCTATAGTTGCATCTAAAGTGGATGGAATGTTATATTTTCTGAGGTAACTTAAATATTTGTAGCATTATGTTATTAATTATTACTCTTGGTTAATGCCAAAATTACAGACATTTTATCAGGCATACAAAATGATATAATAAACATTTGGTAAGAATGTCAGGATTTACAAGGTTATTTGTTATTTCGTTATAATTTTTTCATGTATATATAATACAAATATAAATATTCTAAGTATCTACGGATTTTAGTTTTTGAGTATCGCCTACAAGCAATATCGACTGAAAACTGGGGTTTTGATAATTTAAAAAAAGTAATTTTAAATTTTGATTTCAAATTAGATATAATTTGCTACTAGAAACTACCATTCAAATTAAAAATCGAAACATTTTATCAATAATATATTGTTTATGTTACAGTTAAAGTGTTGAATCAATTAGTTTATGAAATATAAATAATAATAACTAGGTAATTTATAAAATAACTAAAGCTTGTAGATAATGTATATAATTTATACTTTAACTAGTTATTTTATGCATTCCCTGGCATCACTTTGTTAATGTGTAAAAATGTAAATAACAAAATATCATGATAAATAAATATAGTTCTAACATTTTAAACAATTTAATATAACATTAAATCAGATAAGATTGACGTCCTTTTATCTTTTATTTATTTGATACCTACCTACACATTACAATTACATGAGTGTTATTACAACTATACTCTCGATCCCAGTTCGCAGTATGTTCAGATAATTAGCTGTAGAAGCTGTTCCAAATAAAAGTATTACATTAAGATCTGCGGCAACTGTGCAGTCACTGGAAACTGGTCAGGGTTTTTTTAAGTGCACTTGTACCAAAAAATGAAGCACAAAGCGCACTGTTTGTAGAAAAAAAGAGGTATTGTGCAACTCTAAATGCCATAATAGCCTTAAATAAACAAATAAATAAATAATATAACTATAATTAATTCAGTAAAATAAAATATTTTAAATTTTAATGTATTTCATACTTTTAACGGATATAAAACTGAAATTATATAGAATAACTAGATATTCTATGAAATAACTAGTTAAAGTAAAATTGTCACGTATTATTTCATAAAATAACGAAATTCAACACTAGCTGTAACATGTATGCACCTAAAAAAATGTTTAAAAAAAAACATGCCATTGTATAATCATTAATAAAAACATTCATTGGAGATCTAAAATAAAGAAAAATTGATAATTTTTTACCAATTTAGTATTTAGTAACAGGAACTTTATTGGATAATTAACATTTATTATTATATTGGATATCATACTACACAAATAAACTTAAAACATAAAAATGTCTGTAGTCTCATATAGGCAATTTAAAGTTGTAAATTAAATTTTTTTTAATTTTCAAGTGGTTCTATATCAGTATCACTATTAAGTTTTAATTGTTATTAAACCATGGCATATGATTTTTTTACTCCCAGTTTACTCGTAAAATATTATGTAGTTTTAGATCAAAATAGTCTTAAAAATGTGTATTAAATGTTATTATCATTGTAACTTATATACTTTGGAAATAAATGAACAAATCAAATATTTAATTTGTCAAACTACATTACAATTGCATTTTTTTAAGAAAGTTATGCAATTATATAAAGTTATTATTATATACTTAATGTATACAATTACATAATAAGTAATTATTTAAGTTAAATATTTAATATTTGTCTTAAAAATAAGAAAATATAATAGGAACACAAAAAACAATTAACATGTTATCACACCTAAACAATGAATAATGCTTTATTATTTGTAATTATTAAATTATATATTATATATAAAACAGTCTATAAAAAAATTGGCAAAGACACGGCAACAATTTACAAAAAATAACATATTTCCCAGTACCCAGTAGTTGTAAAATATACAAATCATTAATCATTGAACTTTCTTTTGTACTTTTTTGGTTTCTGGGGTTCCAAGAGTTTTCTTCCTTTGGTATACCATATGCATGTACATTTGAGGGAATACTAAAAAAAAAATTTAAAAATCACTCATTTTTGTTATAAATTATTGGAAAGTACTATAATATCATAATATATATGTATTTTAAATTGTGTCAAATAAGGAAATATACTATGATAAATCTTTATTAAATACTACTCTTCTGATATGGATACAATATGTAGATGGCTTAGCGCATCAGATACTGAATAATTCCTGGAGGCTGGAATAAATAGTTTTCATATTTTATAGATTAATATACTTACATGGAATATAAATCAGCATAACCATGGCAATTGCAGACCATAGACTCATTGAAATATTTAATTTATTAGGCATTTCAATACTCCACATTTTGGTTCTTCCAACATATCCTAATGATGTCCAATAAACTAATAATTCTCCGGTAACACCAACTGGATAAAGAACATAGAAGAAAGTATACCTGAAAAAATGACATTATCAATGTAAAATTTTTTAATAAATAAACCCATTAATAAGTTCAACATAATAAATACTAGTTACTACCTTGCCCAAATAATTGGATAAGGGATATAACCAACAATATTGAAACCATAGTATGAGTATCTGGTAATTTCTGCAAAGCACCAAGCAGTTAAGGCCAAAGGTAAACCTGGTGAGCCTGATGTCTCTGGTATAAATGCTATAGCAGCAACAATTGCTACACGAGACAGAACTTGTTGAGTAGTAACTGCCAAATTAGATTTCACCAAACCAGTAGCTACATTGAATATCTATAATAATAATTAAAACACAATTAAGCAAACAAAACTTAGAGAAAACATATAAATAGCTTATCGTTTAACTTTTACATTAGAATTTTAATTTAAAATACTATCAAATGCCAAGAATTTAAATAAAAGTGCTATTAATCAGTGAACTTGTCTGAGCAAATTATATAACTTTGTTAGTTACTAGTAAGTAGTAAGATTTACAAGTTGATTAATAAATTACTACTTATTAGTATTTAAGGAACTATAGAACTATATAGAACATAGTTGACCAAAAATATTTAGTTAATTAAGTGCTTATTTAAGGAGGTGGATACTTGAGAAAAGTTATAAACCTATTATATGAATATGGATGATATTTATATTTAAAAACAAAACCACTATATGAAGGGCTGCATATTAATATAATACACACTCATGTATACTAGTGAGAGTATTTCGATCTCCAATTATATATTTATATCAGTGATTTATGATTAATAAAATGAAATATTATAAAATATTTCTTGAAAATAATATTTGTCTTGAGTATGTCATACTCAATACAACAAAAACCTGTTGTTAAAAAGTCATTACATCTTACATGCAATATATTTATTAGACAGAGTATATACCTATCAATGATATAGTACCTGTAGGAAAATTAAAACTTGTTATAGACCAACAAGGAACTGTTGACCTTGTATGTGACCTAAAATAGTGAATATTATGAATAATAACTTACAAACCCAATGTCATTCGTTTAATATCGAACAATTTTACACTTGAGACTACTTTTATATTATTTATTCATCACTTCATCAGGAAAATTGATATTTCACAACAATAATACATAGTGCTTGTATTTTATCATTTAAAATGTAATAGGAATTCAAATTAAGAATGTTTTTTTTCGTTAATCATACCAACGCAAAAGCAAATAATAATCAAAAAATAATATTATATGCAGATTATCATTAAAAAAAAAACTTCTAATAAAAATTGCCCAATTTTTTTTAACAAACTTTAAATTACGACTTATATTTCCTTTCAGTTTAAAATGTATGTGCCAACCTCAATGAACGCAGCATTTTGGAAAATTCCAACTGTATACTTTACAATGTCCCACAATGATTGAGATTTGGGTGGGTTCAAGTAGAAATTAACGATTTGAAATAACAAATAACTCCATCTGCAAAAAAAGCATTAAACTATAGCATTCTGTCGCTCAAGTAAGGAAAATATTTGTAGATATATTAACAATAATATTACGTTACCCCAAAACTTGAATGAAATTGTATGCGAACAAGTACGCATTCACCGCCACACTAGGTTTTTTGTTCGTTTTCGTTTTGGTCACCGCCATTATAAAACACGGTATTATTTCTTGAGAAAATAACAATTTTTTTTTAAATAAAAAATAACAAATAATAAGTAGGTAAATTTTAAAACTATGCAAATTTGACAACTCCGTTAAGTATGAGATCAACTCAGTGTCGAGTCATTCGTCATTACGGACACAAAAAGTGACAACGACTCAAAAAAAGTTCCAACTGTACCTACAAAACTACGAGCGTAGGGCAATAGTGAGGAATTAGGCGCAGCGCCGAACTAAACGATTATCGCTACAACACTACTATCACAGAGTTTCGGCTATCGGATTGTGAATTGCGGTGGAAAATCAAAGCTCATAACAATATCATTCCCAAGTAACTCGTCCACCTCGACCATACCTGTTACGAACACCCGAGGGCCGAGATTCGAGTTGGCGTCGACGTGTTTGAGTGTTTCCTCCCCACCACTGGGTCAGCTGTGACGCGGTGCAACGCCTAAGGTACGTCCGCGAACGGATGGGCGACGTCACGCAACGATGATCCGGTAATGATTCGTGGTGTCGTGGATCGTGAGCACGGTAGACCGACAAACTACTAATTTAGCTAACCAAGTTTAACCACCTAGTTTATAGGTCGTCTATGTCAGTAAGTACCACGGTCGTGGTAGGTATACGTCCTGTTTAGGTCTAGCAGTGGCATATTTTCAACAATTTTTTTAATTCTAACATTTTATAGGTATTGATGTTTATAGACTAGGCGTATATTTACACGATTAAAAATTGTTACTAACAGGTATTAAAAATTTGCGTGGCTGCAGGTTTTAAAAATCAGTTAGGGTGCAGAGTATAGATGAACCTATTTTTTTGATTCGTGGGGGGGAGGGTCCAGTAACACTGATATTCTTTATTAACGGACGTTCTACTGAAAACTTATAAGGAATTTATGAGTTATGAAGTCACTTTTTCTGAATTGTATTTACAGGTCAACATAATATTGTATAAATTGATTAAATATGTGCTCGTTTTTTCTTAATGTAACATTTTTTATTCAACCAACGTATATAATTACAGCAACTACAGTCACAATCGTGTTAAGTTAATTTATTAATTGGTAAAAAACAAAAGGTTTTGAACGGGTTTATATTATATAGCAGATCAAAAAAATCATTTTTTAAGATGGAAACTGGAAATAATGTATTTTTACTGAACATCTAAAAATTAGGAATATTTAAGATATGCGGAGTGAACAATATGATGAAACTTTTGGCTTTCATTCAATATAGGTAGGTAGTAGGTACTTACGAACTCACGCAGTCACGCGGTTGCTGGGCACAATGCCACAATCTGCATAAAAGATAGAACAATAATACAAGTGCTGTACAATATATTATGTTATATTATACTATACATATTATCGTATTCCTGAAAATGATTGTTGTCTCAAAAAATAGAATTTTTTATTTTATATATTTTAAATTTTAGTACGTCACAAATGACTCGTAGAGACGTAGATAACCTATATACCAAAATACTGTGTGTGTAAGAATGAAATGAAGAGCAAACAATATATACGACTGGTTTATAAGTATAATAACTACAATATAATAACCTATAATAGCTACCTATGTAGTATCTAATCCATGTTTTTTTTAATCAAGGCTGACTGCTGGTTATTATGATTAATTATTAAAGTACAATAATACATATTTTTATTATGTAAGACTAGCTGGTTAGTGTTACGTGGTATACCTTAAGTTATGTGGGTAACGTTATTAATTTATATTTTTGATTCTTAGAACTACTAATTAATTATATTAAATGAGTTACATGTATAAATTAAAAGAAGTATCAGATTAAACTAAAATCATAGAACTGATTTACCCAAATTAATTTAATTTAAAATCCGGATTATTGGAATTGTATAAACTCATCCGCTGAACTTTTAGTCTTAAAAAGAATACACACTTATAACTTAGGTATTTCCGTTCAACACAAATAACCTAAAAATGAATATCAATAGAAAAAGAGTTATTATGTAAGCTTAGAAAAGATACACCTACGTTTTACGAAAAAGTTACAAGTTAATTAAAAATTAAATTCGAATATTCTTATAATATAAAATAATATGTAAACATCGGGTAAGTGGGTAACGCTCAGCAATACATTAGGTGTCTAGAGAGTCGCTGTAATGGACGTGTTAAATTTAAATTCAATGGTATAAAATCATTTTATACAAAAAGCGATAATTTACAGCTCTAATATAAACTAATAATTATTGATTTCAGTGTCATCAGAATTTAATTGTATATTTCATCGAGTAAAGATATTATATTATTGTGATTAAAGTAATTTATTTTACTATATAGGACATTAATACAGAAATCAACAGTAGGTTAAATTAATTTTTGCCAAAAAAAATTGTATTTGAAATTTTCGCTGTGTGTAAAAAAATGAATATATACTCTAAAAGTTTCATGTACCCACGAATAATATTTTTAAATTACAACAAAATAACTATACCCATTGGCCGTTATTCTTGGTTTAATAAGTAATTTCGTTCAAATTTGAACTTAAAAATATATACGAAAAAAGAATTGTGTTAGTATATTTTTTAGATTTGTTGGTTACTATATGAACTGCCTATTTACGAAAAAATATTTTATAAATTTTCAATCCTCAGCTATAAAATTGAACATTTTAAAATTTTTAACGACAAAACAATTTGAAAATTTACGAGATTTTGATAATTTTTTTCAACATTTGAAATTTAAATACTTTTAAAAAATTACTATAGATTCAAGTTCAACTTTTTTTGATTTCCACTAACAGCTATTTATTAGGAACGTTGTACTGTTGTAGTATGCTTTCAAATTTTTTTACCGAGCAAAAAATATTTATGGTCAATAGTTAAACAAAGACCAATAAATTATAAAACTCGAAATTTTCTTAAGCATATAAATTAATCAAAAAGAGTCACAATATTTCGAAAATCGTATTGTTGCATAAAAATTCCTTCAAACATTTAGTGAGACACTTCAGACATTCATGTATATCTAAGGTTATTTTTTTATAGAATTACACTAAATAAAAAATCTATTTTTTTGAAAACTGGTTTTGAGTACAAATCTGTTTTCCTTAGCTGCTGAAGTAAATCTAAGTATTTATAATGTCCCAAAAGTTGATAACAGACAAAAACAAATTTTTTTTAAAAAACACATCATTGTAAGTCCAATACATTTATCGCTTCGCTCAAAATCTAAAATGTATGAAAACATCATACAAATTGCCCAGTCGAAACCCCTTAAAAGTAGATGTATGACTATCTGGTTTCCACGAGTATAAATTAAATTGCCTGCACACAACTCCTTAAAAATGTGTATATTTCAGGACACCACAAAAAAATCTATGTGCTTCTATTATCAGTCTAACCCATTAACCACAATTCCTTCATCAGAGTAGCCAAAAATCAAAAATTTATAGGTTATGAGTAATTTTTGCTTATAAGTAATGACTATTGTTATACTGTGACGAAATTATGGAGTTATTGTCAGCTCGTTACAGGCACATATTACTAATAACTATGGTCTAATACAAATGAAATCATAAGCGATAAATTGTTCAGAAATGTTTCTGTAATCTTCAAATAATAAATTTAATAAAATCAGCTACATGTAACAATTATAAAAGCAAAGAAACTTAATAATTATTTATTAATGGTATGTATAATTATTTATTAGTCTATCGATCATAATATGACTCATAGACCATAGCGTATATTATAATATTATAGTCAATATTATTAATTATTATGTATTTATATTTATTGTTATCAGTGAAACCATTTAATATTTATTTGTAAATAATTTTATTATACATTTTTAATAACGTTATTCATAATAATGCTATACAAACGACTATATTAGCCTTAGGTACATAGACAATTTCAAAATTATTTAAATTTCAACTAAGCATTGTACTGTTATTGAATAATAAGCTCAAATATTTGAAATTTGAATTGAGAAAAGATAAATTTTTAACACTTAAATACTTTAAAATATCTTTTATAAAAGTCTTATCTATTGAGATATAAAATTATTTTTTGGTAGTATAGAACTATAGACTATAGGTATACGTCTATATACAGAACATTTATAAGTACTTGGGGTTAATGGCCGAAACGAATTTCTCTTTGATCAGCATTTCAAGAGTTATTTATACATTTAAAATATAACTGTCATTCATAGAATTAAAGTACATTGGTACTCAACTTTTAATAAACATACAAATATACTTAATGTATTATGTGTCACATATATCAAACAAACACTATATTACAACCAGTGGTTGAAATGGCTCATAATAAGTGAATGGATACCTTACATAAGGTTTATCATATATCGCATATCTAATGTTTTAGTGCAAACAATTTGTGGTGGCAAATTTAATCTAGTAGGTAACTATGTATTTTATTTTTGGGTGTAAAAAAGTAAATTCCTAGTAATTTTCATATTAATTCAGAAAAATTATCAAAAAATAGTGAGAAAATGGCCAACGGAAAAATAAATGCAACCGTTTTTGACAAAATCGATTTGGTTATTTTGTTGTAATACAAAAAAGAATAACTGTAGGGACTTGAAATTGGTATACATCGAGGTATATATACATTTATAAAATGCTCTTTTTGAGTTAAATTATTACATTGTAGTAATTTGATATTATGTTCTACTTTTTATAGACGTACGTTGATAAAATTGTTTATTCATTCCCTATTTAAAAGCTTGAAAATGTAATACATGGTTCCGTATAAGTTAAGCAATTTTGACATGGCCCAATGAAATGTCATGGTTGATTTTAGAATTTATAGTTTTATTTTTTAGAGACTTAGCCTAAGGTTAGGTTAGAGTTAATTTAAAGTGGTATCATTTTTTGTCCATTTAATTAAACAGTTACAACTTCATTCATTTTCTGAATGATTAATATGACTACCCAATATGCAGTCCATTGCCCTTGTATCAGGAACCACGAATCATAAACCTATATTTAACATCTTATAGGGCTATGAGCCTATTATGCTACGAACAGTACAAACTGATAAGCAAACGTTGAAACGTCGAACTATTCAGTCTAATTTTAAACTTAAGGTTTTTGTTACCTGTAAATTTAACTGTACGGTCATGGCATTGGTGTAAGGCATGTGCATTAGCGGGGAGGAGGGGGATACAAAAGGATCTTTAGCGCCTCCGAAACTTAATTATAGTTTATAATAACAATAATATTTTTTTTTTTGTTTAGATTTTAGTTCAATACTATTACGGATCAACAGATAAGATAAATTACGTCTAAATATATAATAACACATAATATAATCTAATCTAAATTGTAACGAGTTACATAAATAGGTTGGATGTTGGTAATTGGTTTATGAAATTAACCATAGGGGATTCACATTTCACTGTGAGCTTATTTTAAAAGAACGGTGAGAAAAGAAATAGAGGGATTTATATATAGCTATTATTTCTGTAGGGAACAGGATATTGTATCGGAAATATTGTCTGTTGGTTGAGCTCTAGTTATGTTAGCATACTATGGGCCAGCTGTATATTATCTTCGATTAAAGTTAACCGAAGTTTAATCATAGATAATAAAGATATGGATAGGCCACGCCTATGTTAAATACATTTGAGGCCGCGTTCCCGGAGGGGAAGGCAATTGAGGCTCCTTTATATTGATAGTCGATACTCAATATAGGTATACTTTATTTGGCCTCAATTGTTCCCCTCGAAGACCGCTGATAAGACCAATATGTCCTATCCATATCTTTATTATCTATGAGTTTAATCGGCCGAATGTGGCCGATTATAAAATCTGTTATCAGCTGATTAAGCTTGATCGATGTGTAACTCTTGTATTAAAAGTATTGCCCTGTTTGTTTTTTTCTTTTAATCAATTTTTTTACTTGTTGGACACCCTTTGTAAGATACTGTATGATCACTAGAGCAAATAGTACATTTAGCCAGAATACTACGGTCGTTGTGTATTCTACATTGCACTGTGTTATAAAATAATTAATATTAAATGGTTATAATTATAAATTATTTCATACTTGCATGTTCTTTGAGTTGATAGATTAGCATTAAGATACACGTAATGGATATATTGGTGGCTTAAAGCCATTGTTTAGCCAATAGATCACATCAAGAAACACTACATCGTCTACATCATATAGGCGAACAAGGTACACTGCGGCCGACTGCAACATTACCGTTAAGCCCCCATGAGTTATATTTCTATATAATATTTTACCTAACATTTTTAAAGCTTTACCTAAATGTCCAAATTGTAATACATTAATATAATGAGTATTATATTATGAGTACTTATATAATATATTTTGCTTTAATATGAAATGTGTAAAAAAAGTTTTCTAGTATGGATTATTGTGGACTTGTAACTTATAAGATCAAATATTTATAGCGGTAAAAGGGTTTGGGGAGGCGAAGCCCTTCACTGCTCAGTGAGCTGTGAAATATTTACGATTTAACACTCCACGTTTGAAAGGTCTAGTTGCGTAAATTGAAACAAATTTCGGGGTCCAACATGTTTTCAATATGGGGACTGGACACATCATTTTTACGTTCAAGATAAAGAAAACTTATTCTGGCTACTGATGTATGCTTTGATGAAAATATAAAATTATTTTTAAGACAATAGGAAGAGGCAAAAACGAATGATTATAGAGACTTGAAGCATATCGGTATTACAATATTTATATTTATCATTATTAACTAAACACAGTGCTATATATTTCAAAATGTTTAAACTAATTTCAAGCTATTTATACCACGAACCTATTCACACTTTTCTGCGGTATGTCGCTACGGCGGATTGTTTTGACTTAAAATGAACGGGAAAAACAGACTCATCCTACCACACTGACCTCGGCGATACTGATACGTACAATCTACAAAACTCTACACCAAAGAGCATCACTACGACGCGAGCACGCGACGTGTCTACGTATGTCACTGGTCACTACGTCGTTCTGTCAGATATCAGAATGTGACGACGCCAGAACAACAGAGATGTCGTCACGCGAGGAGATAAAAATAATATCGTCCACAAGTAGGTTAATCGAACGGGACAAGCACAAATCGAGTGCAAGTGCGTATCGTACGTAATAATTGTACACCTAATAATAAAATAATTATTTATGCTTAAATGCGGTTAATAATAATCCTGTCGTATGCACCGCGAAAACCTATTTACTATACTCACCCGCAATAGTAAGATCTATATTATATAGGTATACTATAACGTACTACGTCATCAGTCAGCAATCCGCAGCATCACGACGTGATAATAAAATAATAGAATGCGTTGCCGTTTTGGATTATTATTGTAATTTGTCATTACTATTATTGTCTATTAATGTTTACAGTTATTACTTATTACTATTAATGATTAGTATCACTGATTACCATTGATAACAATTAACAAATACTGGGATACCTACTAACATTTATAATCAATGTTTGATTGTTATTACTTTTCAATATTATCATCGTTTGTTGATGATTATTATTGTCATTAATCGTAACCACAATAGACTATAGGCCAATAATTCGTCATAATTATTAAATATTTTCATTTTGGTAATTTACAATTATTTTTAGAGAAATTACAAAGTATTTGGTAGTTACTGTTAATACCAAACAAACAAAATTTAATAGTCCCATATAAATTTACTGGACGGAGACTCTTAAAAATTGTAAAATAGGGACCTATAAATGTAATATTATTGTTTAAAAATAAATTTGTTTAGTGTTTTGAAAAAAAAATTATTGCCGAGTAATATGTAAATTATATTTCATACTATTTATTTTATGATTGTTGAGAAAAGTGAGGGCTTAAAAAATGTTTCTATGTTGTATATACAGAAATAATATGTATATATTATAGACTGATGTTTGTACTTTTGTAGGCAAAATTTATTGGTGTAATTTTGATTTTGAAACAATTATCAAACTGAAGGTTTCCTTGAAGGTGCAGTAGGTGCAGATGTGCAGTGATAATACTGCGCCAATCGTTTACATATATTTGTCCAGCGTGCGTGTAGTTGATCCTAGATAAATCAAATACATCGGGAGGTAGCTCCCTTAAAATAAATTGAATACAATGATTGAAGTTTTTTAATTTATATAACACTATTTATAAAATGTACCGGATAAGTCCAAATAAAAATCAACCATTGTCGGCTTCTCAATCATATTTTCCATTTTGGTAAGAAAAGAAATATTATACAACTATGTACTGTCTATTCATCAGGCTTTATATTGTTAAGTGCAATGGGACACTATAATTGTGCATTAGGAAATATAAAATGTGCTCAAAAAGGCTATCGAACAAATGTTTTTCTGATAAATAACAATTGAATTATTTTGGAATAGGTATATAAAATAAATATTGATTTTAAATAAAGGTGATCAAGTGGGTACCTCTCTGCTACACAGTAAATATGCCAAGTGGCTAAAAGTGGGTCACCGTAATGACTAATGGATATGTGAAAACTTCAATTTGAATTTATTAATAATTTATTGCATAAGAAAAATTTTTCTGAGCGAAGACAATCTGTAAGCACTCAGCCTGTACAATGTGTCCCGTGAAGAAGTGACCGGCGGAGTCACAATATGACAGTACACCTTAATAAGTTATGAAAAAAACCCCTTTAAAGGGGGTCGAACTTTTAATATTTTTAGTTATGGGCAATTCAATTTTATCTAAACAAACCGAATCTTCTGCACATTTGCTGATGTATCAGCAAAATATTTTATCGTATTTTTATTTTAATTTTAAAGCCATTTTACTGTGTTATCAACTAACATACTCAATCAAACCAGAAATTCACAAATTATTTTTATTGAATTAAAAAAGAAAAAAAGGTTGACAACAGTTTGCATTTGTAAAAGAAAATCGAGTATAAATCCAAACAACGCTGTATTTATGTGTACTATGCCTGTGTTGCATGATGTTCCTTGCGCCGACTCCTGGCACTGGTCGCCTGTAGAGACAGCTACAGAACACGGTCATAAGTCGCAGGTCTATTAAATAGGCTATAATTTTTTTTTTTACAATTAGGTCTGTAAGTTGCAATACATTTCTCGTGGGACGTGCGTTTTAAAAAGTATTTTCAAACTTTCGCGAGTACCTACCTATACTGTTTACGTAACGCAAGCAAATACAAATATTAATACAATATATTAGTGTTTTAGTGAAGTTTTGATACCCATTTATATTTAATCCGTGTATATATTTCATGTATTTGCACCGAGCCTTCCGTTTTACTTACAAATCACCGAATATTTTATAGTCATTGTAACTTGCAATGACTTAAAAATATTTGGTGGGAACGGGAAGCCGAGACAGCTTTTGGTCGGGAAAACGACCTCCTGGTTCCTACACACAGGCTAAACAACAAGCTGCTACCTAATCTATTTGTGCTTTCTGGCGCAACTCGGCCACACGTGTATATATTATTATATATTATACAACGAACGTGGCTGATATAATTGCTATACGTTAGCGCGTGTCTATTGTTTAAGTAGTAGGTAAGTGTTATGGTGTTAAGGCCGACCGTTTAGTGTCTTACTGACTTACTCCCCCGACAAATAAGACGTTATATTATTATTTGTCGTCAAGGGCGTTCGCAGAAGTATAAAACGATGGAGGGGGGGAGAAGTTAAAAATCTCTGATAATACAGCACATGTTTTTGTTTTGGTTGCAAGTGATAAAACAATTAATATTAACTTGAATAGGGGTCATGTTCCCCCATAGCGCCCCCATACAGGCTCCCTTATTTGCCATGATTACTCTCTTGTACACACACATTATGTCAATTGTCAGTGCAATAACATTATTAATTGACATTCCTAGACGTGTAGTCGTTCATAGATTAAAGAATACGGTTGTGGACGTTGTGATGTAGTAAACTTAAATGTGTCTGAGTGGCTGACGGTATATTATTATTATCGTGTTATAACTTATACACGTCTTACATACACCGTATTACATAGATACTGCGCAGTAGACGTGTGTCGTCGTGTGAGCGTTTTTCCCCATTCGATTTCGCGCGCGTGCATCGCTGCCGACACGGATTTCCCTCCGACGTTTGGATAGTTGGCGGCACCGTTGCCACGGTGGGCGGGGGCCGAGAATCGAACCTCCGCTCGCCCCCCTGCCCACCCAGATCGTTGCGCGCATTCACCGCGCGCGCCGACAACAACACTGCGGCCTCGTCCTTCAGTGGGCCCGTCCGTAACATTCTGGGTCGTCGTTTCGACTGGAAATTTTTTTTTAAACGCGTTTTTTTCCCCTTTAACTTTTTTCCCGGTCGTCAATCGTCGGCGCTGGACTTTTACACATTTCCGTCGGTCCGTCGCGTTTCGCGTTCCCCGGACAGACAGGCGTGCGTGACCAGCCCCACGGCGGCAGCAAATCTCGTCTCGGGGGCCGGACAGATACACACGGAAGGACCTGCTGCAGCTGTACTACGTCGTCGTCACCGTCGCACCGTCACGTTCTAGGTGAGTTTTCCGACAACCGATCGTTATTGTAGAAATATATTTTGTATGGATAATCGCGAAATCTCCAAACGGTGTCCCGCGATCGGGATGCCGCCGTAAAATTTTCGTGAGGAATGTCGGAAGGCGTGCATTATCGACGGTGTGGTGATAGCGGCGTCCGACGTTCGAGCGCGCGCATCTCGATGCCGCCGCGGGCTCAATATGGCCACCACCTGCATTGCGCGCGATGGGTTCGCGCCATTTTAACAGTCCTACCGTCGCTGCCTTCGTCAATCGGTTTGGGTGCTTCTGGACTTTTAAACGAATTCGATCAAAGTTTCGAGTCTGTCGCAAAACTCTTCTGTCGACTGTGACCAAAACGAACCGTTCACTTAATCACCAACCATCAACCGAGCCTAAAATTCTCAAACAAACATAGATAAGATTTCTAAGGTCCCCTTGGATGTCGACTTTTTTGAGTCTGCGACCCCCGATTTAGCCGTTTCGTGCACTCTCTAATAGACCAGAACATTTTGTTGAAGTCAAGTTGGCTTTTTCATTCATAGATTTTAGAGATAGTTGTCCTTTGAAGACCATAGGAACATAATGTTATTATGAGGCTTATATAATATAACATATTATGAGTATGTTACTTGATAAGCCACAAAGACCCAATGAAGAATTATAGTCTTATATGACACTTCAAATAAATTATATCTTCTATTTTAAGTAAAAGTCTAATTTAATTGTTTTCTTTATTTCCCGAGCTATTTCCTGTACCTTTGAAAATGTTGAATATAAAAACTACTAGGTATTTTGAACTTTTTCTAATTTGAAAATTGATTTCTACATACATTTTTAATCTTAAATTATTAAAAGTCTCAATTTCAATACTTTAGGATGATTAAAATCAATCGTTTGTCTAATAATTTTGTTTGCAGGTATGTCTAATTAGTAACTATTAATCAGATGTGTATCTAGATTTCACTCTGTATTTTTTGTGTATAGGTAGATTTAGGTAGATGTATTATTAGTGTCATCTGAAAATAATTAAATTTTGTGTTGTGTGTATGGCACCTTCAAATATTGAGATTGCATTTCGTAGATGTATTTTTTCGTGATTTTCTTGATAGTTTTCCATTTGTAAAAGGATCTACTGGGCATTGACAACAAACTTAATTTTTAATTAACCTATAAGTGTAGGTACTGTTCCTTGTGCAGAACTCAATTCTAATTTAGATATTAACCATAAATTATCTCTTAATATTGAATTAAAAATACTGAATTTTATATAGGAAATATTAAGTGTTTCTATATTAAACTAAACTTACAATTATTGTTTTAGGTATTGTAATTAATTTTCCTTTAACATTTATCAATAATAATAAGCAAATGATGATAAGTTAATGTATTATATAATACATAATAGTGTACTGGATGTAATGTAATTACTTATATTAAATATTAATATCAAGTTCACATTTAAAAGTACTCAATTAATATTTTATTGTACTGTGTATAATTAAAATGAATTGCTCTAATATTATAGGACAAATTTTGGCATCTGTTATTATATTATTCCAAAGTCCCAAATAGTTTTGTTATCTAATCTTAATATTTCTGACATTGTGTTGGCTAGTGTGGGCTTTGAGTTCTAAATGTTCTTGTTATTGAAGAATACTGAATACATTGTCTCTAAAAATAAATTAAAATGTCACTGATCATTACTATTTCTAATAATAATAATTAGGTAATAACTAATACCTAATATAATATTATATATTAGATTACATAAATTATACAAAACAAGATTATTGCTCGGAGTTGCACTTAATTCATTATTGTTTAGTCACTTGCCTACTTATAATTAATTTCAATATTACCTGAATTGTATCCAGAATTTGTGTATTTGTACATAATTAAGTAGGTACCTACCTACAATTAAACAAATTATATTTATGAGTAGGGAATGGGTTATATTATTTTTATTTATTCTATAGGTTCATTCAGCCATTCATTTTTTTTACTAAAGAAAAAACATCGATGATGTGACTATTGACTTATTTTACATAGGTATAGGTAGGACTTAAATAATTTAAACCAAATCGTACAATTTAATATTTTTCGTAAATAATAATATATTTTGGATGAATTTTTTATTGGGGCATAGTGCATCGTGAAGGTGCCTAGGTATGTTGTATTTTTGTTGGGCCTCTTGAGTGTCTACATTCTGAAATGATGTGTTTGATCGAGCTTGGATGTCCGCATGTAAGACATGTTCTTGGTGGCTCCTTTTTCCTGAGATTGCCATGCGTGCAGTGTGTATGACCTATTCTGAGGCGATTTATTACAACTTCGTCTCTTCTTTTGAGAGACATTGGGTTATTCCATTTTTTTTTTGTTTAATTTAGTGTTCATTTTTAGCCATTCCTTTTGTCATTTATTTTTAACTTGGGGTTGTAGATAATTTTTTTTATAGCCGTCTGATTTATATTTTATATTCCAGAGGGTTTGTTGATGTGGGTTATTGGACTTTTCCTTGGCAAGTATGTCAGCTCTTTCATTACCAGTTATTCCGCAACGCCCAGGTATCCTTGAAACGTTTATGTTATTGTTTGATTCAGAGTTTAATTTATTAGTCAAGTTGATTATTTTATCAACGATACATTATCGTTATTAATATTACTATGACTAGATAAAGTGCTCACTGCTCATGGAATCAGTTAAAATGATGTAGTTTTTATTTTGCAACTTGGCATTTATTTCAGCCATTTATTGTTTAGTGAGTATAGTAATTTAATGAGTGTCCACTTTTATTTATCAAGGGGTTTTTGTTGTACTTATTTTTATCTACCTCAATATTTGTCATATTTGTTAAAAATGTAACTACATACTATTATTTATACATATACAATTAATAATCCATTATTCCAATATTAGGTTAATTAATACCTGTATATAATAAATGTATATAAGTATTAAAATATGTAGGTGTGCTAAAAATAAAAGGAATTTAATATTAAAGGTCAAACATTGCCGATTTAAGGTTTACAGATAGCTGTGTATTAACAAATTACAAAACAGAAAGTAACGCTGTATTGACTAAATAAATAAAGAAATTGTACCTACCTGTGAATATATTTCTAATATTTATGTTTTGTTACTGATTTATATTTTTTTGTTATAAATTTATGTTGTTAGTAAAACTATTATGTTATTATTTTTAGTATTCATTACGAGCACAGAAAACGATTGAGAAAAAATGAATTCCAATACACTTAATTATTAATCGCTGTTCGCTGTAAGCAGCGACAACATAATTTTAAAACGTAAGTACCTTAAACCTACTAATCTGTCTAGTCTATTATTATCTATGTAAAATCAACTTTGGACATGGATGCCAAAAAAAAAAAAAAAACAATTCAATTCTTATGAACTAAACAGATAAAACCATTAATGATTTACTAATAAGGTACCTAATAGGTATAATATTTAAATACTTTACAATCCATATAATATCAGATATTAATATAAAATATCAGGTATCATTTTAAAGAATACATGTAGGCATTTCTATTTGCAACCATCTTTATAGAGGTTTAAAAACACACTTGTGCAAATACATTTTGGTGTTTGGTTTTGGCATGCATGTATGTTATCTGGCATTCATTTTAATTGCACAAAGTTTAAACATATACTTGGTATTAATGTTTTAATTAAATTATATATTGTTCTATAATATTACCTCATAAAGTATGATTGATATTTTAACTCAAAAAAATCTCTTTAAAAATAGATCTATATTATTCATGTCAGACGGCCGCAGTACAAGTAAACAAATAACGCTTATCTTTTTTCTCTTATTAGATATCAACATTTAATAAATATTATTTACTGGATTATGTTATAATACGTATTGTTTAGGGTTCATGTACCTGACAATTTTTGTTAAGGGTACACACATAAATATACAATTATGAGGTGTATCTACAGTGATGTGCCCACGTATACCCTCCACTACATCACTGGGTAATATATGTATAAACAAATTTGGTTGAATCTTGGTTTATTAAAAAAAAATTCTAGCCATAGATACTTAAATTGATGTTTACTTATTTATCTCCTTTTAAAAAATAATAATCTAAAGCAACAATAGATAGAATCAAGATTTTCAAGAAGAAAAATTTGATACGTACCACCTCGTATCGAAGTCTGAGTCCGATACGGGTCGGTACGTATCGCTTGTATACTGCACGTGTAATTTCTTGAATGCTCAAAATTGCCTCGATACGTATCGATACACTCCAAATTCTTCCTTGAAAATCTTGAATGTTTCATTATTAATTATATTTTAAATGTTTATGAAATAAATCGTTATTGATTTAAAATGTATGTAGATAGAATCTAATTGTGTATGATAACATTTATTTTATTGACATTTCCCAGAACAAATAAATACACGGAATTAAAAATTAGTAAAATATCTTAGTTTTTATTAACATAAATGATTAGGTAAATGGTTAGTAACAGGTACTTGTTGTTCAAGAGGAGTACCTACCTATTTCATTTTTGAACATTTTATTACTTAATTTGTTGTCAATATAAATTAGCAAACTATGTAAAATAGTAAAATCATAGCATAATAATTACTGTTTTTGTTCTTTTTTCAGCCAAAGAAAACCAAAAATGCTCCACTAAGCATCTATCCCCTCTTAAAGAAGATGGGATACTCAACTACATACTCATCAGCTCAATAAATAACCTTTTTGGCTGTTTTGTACTTTTTTTTTATTTAGTTTAACTTTCAACTTAAATTTTTAAATTCATACTCGATACATTTTAAATTAAAATCATTTTATTTGAAAACTGAATTTACAAGGTAAATTAATTTAAATACATCCAACTGGTAAATTATCATTAGTCTTATAATAATATATGATTTTTTTTTCCAGTCATATAACCATCAAAAGTATGTCCCACAGTCATTTTTTAACCAAAGAAAACTTTCCCAGCTTTTGTAAGAAGTTGTCCGAACTTGAGTGGACAATGGATTCATCATGTACGGAAAAACCTGAATCTTCATCTCCTGCTTATTCTTTTTTGCCAACGGCCCGGAATGTACCCAAAAGTGATTATCATCCTAAAGAATCTTATCAACGTTTTTTAATTGATTCTAACGAAGACAACACTTTAATTGAAAAATATCTAAAACAAGAATGTGACACTTATAAGTTGTTTAGTGGTCCACCAATTAATCCTCCGTTATTTACTGACGAAGGACGTGGTTCTAGTATTGAAGATTCTCCAAAATCATTTTCATATTTTTCAAAAACTAATTGCTCTTACATGGATAAAAGTATTTGGGCACAAGATTCTGGTAATGATAGCTGGCCTGATGCTTTTTTGCCACTGGATATTAAGGAAGAAACCACATGGAAAGAATTGAATACTGAAATCAAAAAGGAGCCAATGTCATGGGCAGTTATCCAACGTCCAGCCAAAGAAGATAAATTCAAACCCATTAATCAATTGGTTGATGCTGGTGCAGCAACTTTTCCAGATGGCTCACAATTTGAAATTGATCTATCATATGAAGCATTTGACGCTGTCGAAGTTGAAGGGAAACTGTACATTGGTAAAGATGAATTTAGGCGTACAGATGATGGGTTGTTGTATAAAGTCTGTAACCAAGATAAAGGTAAATTATTGTTTTATCCTTGATAGATAACAAATTAATAAATACTCTATAGTAAAATATTTGTTAACTTTAGGTACACAAACGGACAATTGGGATGATGATGAAAATGTTTTAGTAACACGTACTGCTAGACGACATTACCATTTTCCGATATTCCAGAATTGGCACACATCTCAATCAGGCGATAATCAAGATCTGCTTAGTGACTTTTTTAATCCACAACGGGCACGTGAAGTCAGAAGTGACATGGATGACAGACCTCAAATGATAGATATGCTTCGCAACATTATGGGCATGCAACATATATGGGATAAGCCAACTATGTGCAATGAAATTGATGCTTATCCAGAACAAAACTTATACATACCAACAACATGCAATGAACTGGCTGCTACCTACACAATGTAAGGTTTTAGAATTATGTTCAAAATGTAATTATCTAAAAATATTGGTTTTTATTATTAGATTGCAGTCAGATAGTGGTTCAGAAAGTTCAGATGATATAGACAATAATTGTGGTACACTATTCCGTAATTCGCGAACTTAAAAAGGCATAATTAATTTTGGAAATTGCAAGATTAAATCAACACTGTAATATTTTGTTTTGCCGTGCACCGTTTGTGTTTTTTTGTCGAGACATGTTAGACTCATTAAGGTTAGGTTATACATATTTTTTCTTTGGGACAAAAAACTATAATATTTTACATTTGTATGATCTATAACTTATAGTTTTGGTCGATAAGTTATTTGTTTAAAATTGTATTTAAAAACAAAATAAAAAAAAAGAACAAAACGTCAAAAACCCTTAAAAAAAAAATATATATATATATTAAAAATAAACATACAATAATATATATTTATATCTTATGGATAGACCTAAGGCTCTAAAATATTACCATAATATGGGTTATTTTCTTAGGTTAAAGAAATTATCCCATTTGAATAATTTGCTTTGATTAATGATGTATTTCTTTTTAATGTGTTCAAAACTGTCAAGACATTTTAAGAATTTATCATTTTATTAGCCCAATGGTAGCAATATTTTGTAATTAATCAATTTTATTTTGAAGTAAAAAGATAATAAAATATTAAAATGGAGAAATACCCGAAAATTGAAGCTAACAAGATATTAAGAGTTAGGTTAGGCGTCTATGAGCGAATATACCCTATTCAAAAGTGAGAAACTGGACAAATTTCTCTGGATTTTTTTTATGGAGAATATTTTGGTGAATTCAATGTATTTTAAAATTACTTGACCTCAAAAGTTTTTTATCTTATTTGATCTTAAACATACCTGAAATTATTTTAAATTGATAAATATTGTGGGTCAAATTAAGTTTAAAAAAAATGTGTTTATTCTAGGAATTTATAACTAATCACCATTCATATAAAAATAATTTTTCTTTTGAGTCTGTAAATCCTGGTCATAAGTTTGTCCAGTTCAGTTAGAAGATATCAAAAAGACGGGTCCCGATTTTTTTTAAATATGGCGCCCGAATATTTATTTGACACTCGTATATGTATACACACACACACACATACATACATATATATATATATACATATATGTATTTTTTTAGTTTAAAGTGAAATAAAAGTTATTTTTTCTGATAAAACAGTCCGAAAACCGTTTTCGGCCCTGATTTTTAATAAAAAAGCGCCTTGAGTTTTATGTTAACAAACTATTTTTTTTTATTATTATTATTTTTGTTTATTACACACAGTTAACCAAAGTGCCTTTTAGAAACTTGTATAAAATTTGAATTTTTCATTTTGTGGAGGGGGTTAATGACTGAATCAATCGCTCTTTTGTTTATCGGTTATTATAAAACTGAACTTAAGCCGATAAATACACGAATAATATATCAAAAGATGCGCACCCCTTTATAATTATTATTTATGTATGTGTTAAAATTCATATACACCAAGACCCACATAATATACATAAATCATTTTTTTTTTATTGCTTTTATGTGTGTATTTGTATATGCACACATGTATACATGTATAATTTTTTTTTTGCAAGGCCGAAGAAATATTGTTTTTGTGCATTTGTTTTGTTAAATTTGTTATTTATTTAAAAATGTTTTTAATACATTTCGCAAGGGATGGAGCACAAAATTATAAGAAAATTTGCTTTTGTTATTTTATACTCTACCTTGATTTGTCTTGACAGTTTAGAACAAATATTATGTTAATCAAGTTTGAAAGAATCTATATAGTATATTAAAAAAAGTACTTAAGAGGTTGTAAGACCTTTTTAGGTAATAAGTAATTACTAATTTTTATTTATATATATATATATATATATAAATATATACACACAATTTAGGTACATATTTTAGTATGTGAATTTAAAGAGTTTTTATTTCAAAAAGAATAAAATAAAATTTTGTTAGGGCATTAAAAAGAAATAGAGTAAAATATATTCACAATTTATAGGAAAAATGTGTGTGTACAATTTTTAAAAAAAATTTTACTTACTAACTGCAAGTTTTTTTGAATTATTTCACTTGAATGACGCAGTTCAAGTATTTAAAAGTTTGGAGCTATATAAATTATAATTTAAAAACTGTAACATTTCAACTTTTTTTTATCAAATAATTAATGTTGATGTACCCCAGTACCTCAGAAGCCTGGGTTCTTTTAGGTACCTCGGGTAAAAAACACACTGTTTTTATATGAATATATAGTCTCAATACTCTATTTTAAAATGTGATTAAAAGAAGATTAAAAGAATCAACTTTGCTGTCCAAATTAAAAATAACATCATTTCTAAATTTATATTCTTATTTTAATTTGTAAAAAAATTTAATTTTATAAATTAATGGTATTTGGTTCATATAAGAAAATACCATTTTATGCAATTTTAAGTTAAAATTTTTTTACTCTTTTATCAGTGAATATAATTATTTTAACTTTGTTCCAATGTTGAATGTAATAAATATCAATATACAATTTTAAAATACATTATATCTAATAAAAAAATAGTTATTCAAATATTTCAATTAACATTATCAAGTGCAGTCATGATTCCATGGGTTTGACATTTTTATTTAATATCTAAAATATATGATTTATTTAATTATAACTATATTTCTTTTAGAAGGTTAAAAAAAATGTAGAGAAAAAATATATCATTCTTATTTGAATATTTTGCTTTAAAAATTTTATTTTTTAAGTTTTTTTTAAAAAATTTTTTTTAACAATTATTGTAATAAGTATACAATCAATATTATTCTAGTACATAAAAAATTTAATTCATTTAGTAAAATATTTTGTTTTTATTTTTAGTCGTTGTTAAATAAATGTTATCATATTGTAGAATATTTATCATATGACAAATCTTGTCAAAAAAAGGATTCACACCAGTTCTTATGATAAAAATATAAAACTATGCAAAGTACATTGTATTTCAATAAAATAATCTTAAACTATCTGGGAAACTGCAAATAATAATAATTTTTCCAAAAATTAATCTTGTTTGGTCAACAATTCCTTTTAAAATTATTATTACTATGCTATAACTTAATTTAAATGTATTTTCTGTAAGGAATAAAAGGAATTTAATAGTTAAATTGACTTCATACTTTATTATAACTGAAATATTACACTATGAATATATAATCTTTATAATATAAATTTGATATATTCTCTATAAAGTATCTAGTCCAAAACATAAAATTATAATTATATGTTTTGATTTAATTTTATCAAAAAAAAAAAAAATTAATTATAGAAACTAATTTAATATAATCTCCCAAATTTTAATATTATATCATGATGTACAGTTAAATTACAAAACTTGAAGGAGGTTTTAATATTTAAATCAAACGATTTATTTTTAATTTTAGAATGTATAATTGTATTGTAATTATCTAACAACCTAATTCTCGAATAAAGTATAGTATATATTACATAATATATTAACTCATATTCAAGTGTAATCATTCATTGTGCACTTAAATTGATATGTGATTTAATATGTCTTTACCGGTTTGTTTATTTGATTTTCCTACAGGTTTTTTTTTCATTATAAAGTAATATTTCCTTTCATTATGTAACATTTGCTACCAATTTGTAGTAAGAATACTATATTATATAATAAAAATCATGTTTTTGGCGAATTAGATACATTTTTTGTTTTCAAGTGTGTATTTGGTAGGCATAAATGTGATTTTTTGTTTTGTTGTTCAATCCTGGAATATTAATAATTTAAAAAGAAATTGATTGTTACAATTTTGATTTTAAGATAATATGAATATATATGATGTAACCGGTTTTTAGTAATCTAATTTTGACATTTTAATTTTACACTTGATATTTAATATTTATTTTTTAAATTTTCAAAGTAAATATTATTAATATTACTATTGCATGTATAAAACATTTAATATAATATATTGTACTCTATATTATTTATAATGTTAGTTGGTTGGACAATGGATATGAGACAAATGAAAATAGTTGTCAAAATATTTTTGAGGTGTAAACAGAAAATTGATTTAATAAAGTAACTATGAATGGAGTATTATTATTTATGTTAATATTGTTTGAGTAGACCCTCTTGATTTCAGTTAGTGGGTAAACAAGGTTTCAAAACGGCAAGTTGACTATGGACTTGCTAACAACGAAACCATTGAACAGACCTGAATTAATTATTTAGTATTTTAAAAATTTGAAGAGCCAGGAAATGTCATTCTATAGAGTAAAATATCATGTGATGCACAGCTTGTAAAATTTTTTTAGGGAGGGAGGTTTCTTATTTTCTTACATGAGTGATTGCTTCAATGTAATAAAATGTAAATGCATCTGCTTGGAATCTTCTGTATATTCTGTATGTTGTTTATAAAATAAATTAATTGTATAAACAACTGGCGGGTAAGTATTATGTACCTAATTAACTTGACATCATTATTCATAAATTTAAAAGACAAGTACATAAATATTTTTTTAAGTTATTGAAAGCAGAAAATAATATACATTGTAAGTTTGTAATACTCCTACCTCGTTCTTTTGAATAAAGGGGTTTTCAAGTTGCAATATTTATTCTTAAGAGAGGATGTCTTTGTAATATTTGTTTTGTTACTCAGACCCATACTGATAATCACCTAAAATTGTTTTTATGTGATTTGAGTAATCTTAGAGTAACATCGCCAATCACACAAATTAAGGAGTACAATATTTTTAAGGTATGACTTATTGGTTTTATATTTTTACTATTATTATTAAAATGAAAAAAAGATAGTTGTAAATAATGTTTTAATTATTTTGTTACAATATTTAGACAAATATTAATATGTTGTACACTCAAAATTATTAGTATGTATTGTTTTTGTAATTAGTGATTTACTCTAAGATTACTCAAAAACATAAAAAAATGATTCTGCATAAATGCGTTTTGTCCATGTTTGTGGGCCAGAGAGAAAAACCAAACAGTACACTGACATTCTCTTAATATTGGTCGTATAAGCTTTTGATATAATCACTAATTATTCGACTTCTATAAAATAAATAAAATAACCAATTTACTTAGATGTGTATTACACTTACAGTAGATCGACAAAATACCTTTTATTTTTTGCGAAAAAGGAAGGTTAAATAAAATTAATATAAAACTTGCCCTCTCTAGTGGTATCTTTTAATAATAAGTTGTAACTTATATTATATGTACCTAAACAATTTATTTTTTCAAATTTATATAACTTCAAAATGAATAAAATATTATGAAAGAAAAAATAATCTCTTGGATACTGTAGTGTTTCCTACAAACCCAATAATATGTAAATTTGCTTTAATTTAAACTGAATAAACTGTACCTAGTAAGATGTAGTACATAGATTTCAAATGTTAGCCCATTCGTAAGGCCCACGTAGCTTTAAAATTAATTGCCATCGTTCAATTTGGAAAAAAAAATATACCTACCAGTTATACAGATGATAATAATATTATATTACTAATATATCTTACCTGCCTTATTTATCTATAAATATAAGAATCTAACTCGATTTTGGAGACGAAGAAAACCGGTTTTGAACCCTCATTATAATAATAATTAACTCATTTTCATACATTCACCGATAACGATGTCTGTTGCTTTTTTTTCTTTTTTTTTTTAATTTCATAATCGTTGTATTATTTGTATAGCCAAAAAATAGTCATATGTTTTTAAATTA